AAAAAAAAAGAATGCTGATTGATTGTTTCGAGAATTGGATTGCATGCGAAATTTTTGGAAAATTTCAATTTTTGTTAGTTTTTTCCTAACAATAAGATATAGTAGATGTGCAGAGTAAAGCTTGGCTCGTCGCACGTTTCATATGTCGTCATGTTTGCGTTTTCAAAAAAATGCCATGTTTAGTTCGAAGCATAAAATATTCATGACAGCCATGACAAGCAAACGATTTCTCTTATACTATGAATATTATTACTGGATGTCATTGGTTTTCGGTGATAGAGCAATGAAGTGAATAATGCGTGTTTGCATTTGCTGTATGCAAGTTGCAATGGTATTTGACAGCAATTCAGATAGCAACATTGCGCGTTTACAACTCTAATGTTGCGTTGTTAAGCGAGTTTATGCAGTGTTAAACTACCGTCTCATATTTGTTTCTCACTTGCAACGCACTCATTTCAATAGCGAGCGATAGCGATTGTATGTGTGGAGAGTGCATACGAAAATCCCGCATAGGATTAATTTCCTGGAAATTCAGATTCAATAAATCGCATATTAGTGAACGTCTCATCCGATCATGTCATCTGCTTTGAATTGAATATTAATGAGCATTGAATTCGATCAAGTGCATCCATTCCGAGAGAGCAATTAACTTGATTAGCTTCAAGTGATTAGCAGTGGCAACAGATGAAAGTTCAGAGTTAAGATGGTGATAATGTGATGGTAGACGTTAAAGAGTTATGATTCTTAATTCTGATGATCCTAATGGATATCTTCCGTAAACAGCTTACACCGGAAGCTCAATATGATCATGCCAGAAAACCTTTCAATTATCGGATGCATAAAAGGAAATTAATCGAGATGGATTTTGAGACAATTCGTTTAAGAATCGTGGTGTGTATAAATGATGGCTTATGGGTAGTTATCAAGTATTATATATTATATGCTTATCCCCTCGACAACTGGTGTTGATAATTTTTTGCAATTGCTCACGTAGTTTTCCAGTGGCATTCCGCATTCCAATATTCTAAAAATTCATAGAAGTCACCCACCAAAAACATCCGGTAGCTTTCAGCTGTTTCCTTTCGACTATTTGCATATCGTTTCTCATTAGCAACTTTGCTCACCCTTATTTCAAAGGAAATTGTTTGCAGTTCAGCTAAAATTAGCAAGAGTTTAGGTGAAACTTGTTTCGACACGGTTTATCGAGGGTATATGCATAAATCACGTCAATGTGATCTCAGAACAGTGGGTATTGGGCATTGAAAGTTTAACATACATAAAATTAAGTAGAGGAATGGTGACAGAACAATTTGATTTTGAAATTATAGAAGTTATGATAATAAAAATAAATAAGTTGTGATAAATGGGATAATAGAATAAACGGTATAGTGTTTAAAAATGGCATAGTAAGGATAATAATGAATAATTAACGACACTGACACCTGAATATATCAGCCTCATTACTCAATGTTGGTAGTTTATTAATGATTCATACGATGCAACGGTCATGCGTCAAGAAACCTCAGAATGACGTGAACTGATTGGAAGCGTTCAGAAAACGAAACAAATTTATCATCAAAAAACAATTCGTTTCATTTTAAAACCCAGTTTTTGACATCACTCATAAATGATTCAGTGATTCCAGTTTTAAACGTCATCACAGATACATGCGTTTCCGTTGGTCGATTTGTTCGTTCATGATAGATAGACTTAAATTTCTCATGATAAATTTCTTCTTTCAGTTATTTTGCGTCTTTCCCGACACCGTATGAATCATCAGAGAAAGAATAGAAATCGTTTTCCAAATTGAATCTTGCCTGATCTGAAGTTTCAGAAAATAAAAGCATCGATCTCTACTCTAAGCAGGTTATTCGGCGAATATCAAGTGGTCATGACGTGAATGAACTTCGTACTTAATGACTGCACAATACCGTTTGATATAAATAATCGAAAAGTATCAGTGCAAATTCAGACATACATTCAAACTGTACTGAGCATAACGCAACTCTAGTACAGAAGGAAGAAGGTTTTCTAGATGACGGAGAATTCAGTTGTCAAGTGTAGAATTTAGAATTCCTTCTCTCAGATCCAAGAGGTCAAGACTGACTCCAAGTTCGATCTCCTTATGGTGGATGACAGCAGTTGATGTGCATGCTTTAATATCGCTGATGTCATGCGTATGTCGGAATTTCTTTTGCCAGCCTGATCAGTCCATTGGAGAGTAGACAGAGTCCCAGGAATATTTGATTGAATGAGTTTACTCATTTTTGTTTCTACATTCCAAAAGAGTTTCTTGCTATTTCCGAATGTGCTGAATAATTTAGCACAATATTCGCTCGTGTTATGTATGCTATTCTCGCGGTTCTCATATGATTTCTAAGTGCCAGTGTATTTCTCCCAAACGGTCGAAGCGATGAGTGACCATATCCGTTTCTGCTCGAGGACTAGTTCAGTTGATTTTTTCAGCTGAAATCGGAATTGCCGAAATGTCATCAACTCGTGCGCTTGTTGTTGCCTTGGTTCTACTGCAACTTCTCAACGTATTCTTCATGACAACAAACGCTTATTTGTCAGATGGTCAACTGTGAGTTCAAATAACACTGAATTGTTTTTAGACGTTCCACATTCTCTTATGTTCGAAATTTGAAACTTCTGTGTTTTGTGTTGCTCTAACGATGTTATTCTAGGAAAGAGATTTTCTCGATGATAAGATTGCCTTCGACATTGATGATATTCATCGGTATTTCATTTGCAAACCTAGAAATATTATTGCGAACAATTAGATGTTCCGCAGATTGACTGCATAGAGCAAATAACGATAATGTGGTTGCTTTTTCAGTGACAGATTCAAGAGGCAGTATGGTTATGGCGGTGGATACAGCAACTACGGTGGTGGTGTTGATAACAACTACGGAGGTACTGATATTGGCTCGATTAATACCGATAATACGGATATTACCGTGTACTGAAAGGATCTGCTGTTGGATGAATATCTCATGAGGTTCACGATCGACTGGCAGTGCACAGAAGTCATGATTAAATGTACTTATGGGAGTGTGAAGATGAATACGATTCGATTGATTTGACATTTGTTTTATTGAATGTTTAATGATGCAGTGCTTTAAGTTTTTGTTCTTAATAATAAACTTTGACTTGTACCTGACTGTGTTCGACGTTTCACGTTGAGATGTTAGAGCTGACCCCGAGCACTTTTTGTAACAGTGGACAGTTTATTTTTTGTTGCTTTATTCCACAAGGTCATGAGCACAACCACTTATTTCGATCCTTCAGTAATGCAGAGTTTCGATTTCATGTTAAATTCTCGTAACCTTAACTTACCAAATGTTTTATTATTAGAATCGCCCCTATCTCCTAGAAGATAAAAATGGGACGGGTCACAGAGGAAGAGCTTCTTGATTAAGTACTAAAGCTTTGAGAATGTTCACTATAAGATGGGTAACACTAATGTTGGTGAAGTTCGAACGTGATATGCAGAGAGCTGCCGTAACTTCGAATGAAGAGACAGAAAATCTTTATCCATGTTTATCTCCACCATTATTCCTGAGCATCGATCGGTTCGGAGTGAAATCATCCAACGATCCAAACAGTACGATCCTTACGATTCTGAATGCTCGAATACACAACGCATTCAGTGCATCGTGCTTGGCATCGCTTTTACACGGGTTCAGCTGAATCACTGATCTAGAAATTATGGAATGAGTCTGTGCGGACAATTTGATCAGAAGGCTGATCAAGCGCAATTGAGGGGGAATTATTAGCTGCAAGTTTTTGTTTGAACATTGCCAATATGGCAGTACAGTCGTGTTGATATTTCATCACATTTTAGCACATCGAGCGCACAGTACACATGCTTTATTGAAATCAGTAAATCAGCTTTGACAAATCTCTCTGAGCAGCCTTTTCAAGGGGTTTCGCAATCCCTGTCTAGGTATCAATCGACTTCATGTGGATGATAGTGCCTTCTAGACTCTATTCCTGTATTGTGAACAAACNCAACTTCTTCCGCGAACTTTCCGTTCCTTCAGTAATGCAGAAAATCGGTTTCATGTTAATGTCTAGTAACCTAAACTTAACCACAAACAGCTAACAGTTTCTTATTTTGCGTGGTAATTCGATCGAGTCAACCAACCAATACAAATCCGCCTTTCAACTCACTCCAACTGAAAATGGAGCCGGCAGATTAGAGAGACTCTATGACGGACTGCTTTCGAGCATGTAGTATCACAAATTCTATCATCGTCATATTCCACAGTCATGTGAATGACCTTATCAAAAAGGTTGATAAGACTGGGCGTAAATGACGTGATGTAGTGTTAATGACGTTGATAATAATCATGATCTTATTCACCGTAACTATCAACGATGCATGATATCATCAAAAATAAACCCAGAAAAAAGGCAGCAGAAAAAGTTTCATTAATTTTCTATCGCATGACATAGCGCAACATCCGTCCCGTCCCGTTCATGATTCGTTGCTGAGCATTACAATTCGTCTTGTTTCGATGAATATTGCATGACTCATATCATGGGAGCGAATCTCTTTTCATTTGTGATTTTCTCATAGAGTTTCACAGAACATCAGAATAGAACTGATGAGTTTATTTGGCGAACACTAACCATGTCTTAATAATCTGAAAGATAAATAAATAATTTTTTTTTGTTGTTGTTGTGATACGTTAGATTCGCATATATACGATCGGTGTTAAGGAATGAGTGCATTCAGCAGCACTCACCTTGCAGTGCATTCACTACGGTACACCGGAGCAATAGAGAGGTTTTGAGAATTTTGCTTTTTTTCGATAGATTTTCCAAGTGTCTTTCCCAGCCTCGAGCTTTTGAACATCATTTCAAATTCATCATTCAGATGGATAGTGGAAAATTTTCAGCACCAAATGGTTGTCTTCTCAGGGAGAGTAGCGTAAATTGCTGCGTATTGCTTAAAAGCGGTAGTGACCATAAATTTTGAGGTTTTGATCGATTCAACTGAAAGATTTATTAATTCTGATTTATTCGTTCCCATGTTCATGTGAATTTATTATTTATTGGTTCTTCCAGAAATCTTATTGTTAGCGAAATTTTCTCCGAGTTAACTAGTATTAAATCAATAATTGGGTCTTTTTCATTTATTAATGTTCCTTTAGACGAGTAAAAAGATTTTCGCATGGTTTCTGACTAATGACATCTTCTAGAGACAGGATGACAGAAGCGATGAAACGAATAAATGCTGTACATCTTTATTATAAAATAACTATCTGTTCTTTGTAGTTGAAGTTGCTACAATGGCTTCCACTCGTGTCGTTGCTATTGTCTTGGTCTTGCTTCAGATTATTAGCCTATTTTGTATGGTGAACGCAATTGGCAATGAACGAACGGCCAATGATCTAATGTGAGTGCCATTCTTCCAAAATTTAAAATCTGGAATTTGACTAGCAAGGCACAGTTTATCAACTATTCCATCCACATCGGATTGCTTTGATCAGAGGAGTGATCTTGAGAGAATATTCTCTAAGCTTCGTATTCTATTCCAAGTTTGACATTGCTAGCTCCGCGTGTTTCCTATTGAGCAGAGTATTTCATGATGTTGATGATAGACCCGTTTACAGAGGTCGATTCAAGCGGCAGTACTACCCATACGGTGGCAGTTACAACTATGGTGGTGGTGTTGATAACAACTACGGAGGAACTGATATTGGTTCGATCAATGTCGATAATACGGATATTACCGTATGAGTATCGTGGATCGTGATCTAACTCGAGACGAATCGTGTTCGCTATGATTTGAAATTGACTTACCTTATTGAAGGAATTTGATTTACGTGTAATTTATGCAATACTTTCAGTGTAACTCTACATTTGATTCTACTCAATCTGATGTGTTCACATTAGTTTGTGATAAATTCATGTGTATTGATAACTGAGGACATGAAATGAGCACATTTCCTCACTTATTTAAGTTATGAATGCATCTTCATTGTTTGTACCATTATGAAGCAGTTAATAAAGAAACGTGTTAAATATTGTGCTTCAGTAACACCTCTTACGAATCAGGTGGTGGTTGTGCCGGGGAGAGGATTCAAGGGATTTCTGGATGTATGAATGAAAATAGCAAGCAAAATATGCGGTGAAACCAGAAGTTGAACGAAATTCAGTGCAGCTTGTTGGCAGTAGACGATGCCAATGATCTGTTGATGAGAGTTTTTTGTGTTTTGAGCAAAAAAAAGTTTCTAAAAGATGCGTACTATACCACATCGATGCTTCTTGTGACCAAGCCGAATACGAGGATTGCAATAGAATTCACCTGGAAGTTGGATAAAGTGTTCAGGTGAATTTGACAAAATCACGGTAACTAACCGCTGAAGCTTCAGATCAAATAGTTCATCCAGTTCGGTGCTCCATTATCACTTTTGATGACCGGGCAGGTCGCCGTTACTCCTAATATGGGTAATTTCACTCCCTATGAGAATTACTGTGCTAGACCATTGTTTTGCTCATTATTGCAATCGATGATGATTGCATGGAATGCTATTGTCTA